GGCGCCCCGATAATACACTCAGGAAGAAAAGATAGATTCTGGTGAAGAAGAGATTTTTCTTCTTCTTGGAGAAGTTTTCTAATGTTTCGTTTTGTTGCGAGGGAGTTTACAGATTATGGGATGGACAAACTGTATTGAATAGTACAACTGTGTAGTTAGGGATAGATAGTTAAGGATATGCGTCGAGAGCGTGACTTTAACTAAATGAAGGCTTCGAAAAAAAGATTAACTAGTTCGTGAAAGTGCGAAGAAATAAATAGGCTAAACGAAAGAACTGAATATGTTAGATAGATAAAGAAATAAAAGTAATTATTTGAATGTAATCTTTATTTATTTAATGATTTTGATTCTTTTATATTTCTCCGTTTTTCTTAGTAACAGTGAAATATAATATCAAGAGTTTGGTTTAAATGTAAACTTGTATTGATTTTCATAAATATTATCGCGATTTTTTAAAAAAATTGAAAAGTGATTAAGTATATAGTCCTATATAGCCATAGTATCGCTTATACTTTCTGAAATTTAAACAGGACGTCTAATTTGCTTTATGAGCGTGAAATTGGGTACAAAAATCACCGAAATGCAATCAACTGTATGAATTAGTTCAATGCAAAAACTAGTGGAAAAAGAAAGAAAGATAAAGGACTAAAGAGATAATCTAGATTTCAAAACTCATAACATAAATTTCTGTAAGATAAGAGTTACAATATAGATTCCTGATTTATTGATTGATTTTTATTAGATTTTGAAACAGCAATTTTTGTAGTAAATTTTAGATCAACGAAAACTTACCGTTAATATAAGTCACCGTTAACATAAGATAGTCACCGTTAACATAAGAGACACCTTTAATATAAGAACCGTTAATATAAGTCAATGCACACAAAACACCATTTATTAAGACATACATATTTTTGAAATGATTTTGAATTCAACGCCATATGTACGAGGTGAAAAAGGTATGATTCCTTTTACAGAAAACTTTATTAATAATAATACGATAATATTAATACGACTGAGAAATGAACAGGAAAATGCTTGAATAAATAAATGGATTGATTTGTAAATAATATATACAATCTCTTTTAATGTGGTATCTTTTTTTGCAATTAGATAAAGCCCATAGTATTTTTGTGAGTCACCAATGTTTTGCCTTATTGTTTTTCCTTTGATAAGCAATATCTAAGATTCAAGCATTTTTGCTTGGAAGCCACACTGTTAGAAATTTTTCGAAAACAAAAATGGCTAAATAGCAATTTATTTAATTGTTATTTTATACCATATTCAAACAACACAGAAAAACAACCATGAATAAGATGGCATTCGAATTGTTAACAGTAGGACAAACCGTTTATCAACTGCTTTCACCTAATACGGTTAAACAACCAGAACTTTATCGCACCAACTGAGCCCACCTAACGAAGCCACTTATTACTTGCAACTGCGCATTTATTATAGCCTAGAGGGCTAATCTATCAGTCCCATGACCAGCAGAACTGGGGTTCAAGTCCCAGTTTTGACACCACAATATTTCCCCCATTCCTTTTCAACACATGAAGAGTGTCCAGAATTCTGCACTCCCCAATTTATATCCTGCACTCTCCAATACCCATTACCTAACGAAAAGCCTAGCTCCTATGGCCAGCTAAATGTTTTTTTTACGGTTTTGAAACCATGCTAGTTGTAAATGGCTAAAAAACCGTAGAGTTTTCTTTTCATGGTTCTATAACCATAATGGTTGTAAACGCTTTCAAAACCGTAAAGGTAAAAAAATGTTCTTCACCGTAAACTTTATGATTAATCTGAAGAACAAACTGCTGTTGGTTATTTTACCATATTTTTAGAATGAAAATTCGAACAGTGCAGTGAGTTGCATTCGATCAATATTGAACTGCATCTGAATAACCATAATTTTTTTTTTACAAGAAATTTAAAGTCAGATTTTCGATTAATCCTTCTCGGCCAAGCTCTTAGAACTGTTTAACTGCGATTGAAACGATTTTTTTTTTGTTGCAAACTCTATAAGAAGCAATAATGTGCATTTCTGCTTTACTCAATTAAGCTGGTTCATATTTTGTTTTATTTCTTATGTAGCTTAATTTCACAGTTCTTTGTGGACTGCTTCGCAATCCAAGTTCAGTTTTCTTGTTCAATTGATACAGATTGATATTGATCAATTGGTACAGTCTAGCTTGCTTGAATAGTGGTGCTCTTTTTAAACTGAAGTTCTAAAAATATGCATCAAATACATTTGGTAAAATCTATGATTTATAAGAATCTCATGCAATTTAGAATCATCACGATTTAATTTGCATGCATTTTACTTATAAACATTTTCATACTACTTGGAAAATATATTTAGAGCAAATTTACCATCGTATACAATTTCTAAATTTCCCTGCTTAGAGACCCAGCAAGAACTTACAAAATGCATGACTTGATTAAATTATTAAGTATCATTAATACTGTGAGCAAAATTATTATGTAACTAAACGAAAATTATTAACCATAAATAAAAAGAACTAGTACAAATTTCCGTTTGCACCAACAGTTCGCTTTTAACCTCTCATATTTGCATAGCTTAGAGCTCCATTTGTTTAAGCCAATTATACCCAATGCGAAAATTGAAGTTTCATCAGTTTTGTTACCATTACAAACATACGTATAGAGTGTAACTCTGATCTCTCAAAGTTATCTGTCTCATAGTCTATCTACCTCAAGAACTCCCCATGCACATCGTCTGGAGCGCTGTCGGTGACTATGATTACAGGTTCAACTATTTCAAACAGGGGTATTGGATAAATACTCGGGCTATGTTTTGACACAGGACGATGAGAGAAGTATCAAAAGCTCCCCTCTCTAAAATGAGCTCTTTTTTTGTTTCCAAACCTGCAAACTCTGTGGCGGGGAGGATTTCTTAAGAGATAATAAGATTAAGACGACAGATAATAGTTAAAAAATAATAATTACAAGGAATGACGTAAATAACTGATTGTTTACATCACCATAAAAAATATAGTAAGCGTTTAAGTAACATTGTATTAACTAAGAGTACTACTGTTGTGCTAATGACTAACTCGTTAGACAAGCTGAAAATTATATAATTTTTAATTGAAATTTATAGAAAAATTTAATTTATTGATATAAAAGTCCATATAACACAGCTAGAGGGTTATTAAAAGAGAATTACGACTGAAAAGTAGAGTTGCAGATTTATTTGTACAAGAGCCTATTTGGGTCACCTTTAAGAATACAACCACAACATTCATAATATAGAAGTAGTGGGCCTAGAATTTGATTACAGCATCTTTAACAAAGTAAGAGTAGTTTGAATAAACCTCGTGGATCAATATTGTAGGTTAACTTCTTGAAATAAATTCAAAACTGCTGAGGATTTTTTAAATACAGAAAAGAAAAAAAGAAACTGATTTAGAGTCCTGTAGAATTTGCAACGATGAGTCGTAAAATATAGTTTATGTTTTATGTATTTTGATGATAAAAGAAAAGATATATTCGAGAAAGAAACAATAAATCATTTTTTTCCCTTTCAAAAATTGCATTGTTTTAGAAAATGAAAGCTTTTCAGTTGCTGCATAAAAAAAAAAAAAAAAAAAAAAAAATTCAAGTCAAAATTATGTCGATTGTCGCCATCGTAACGACGCCATACATAAAACATACCAGGAAAACTTTTGATTTTATGCTCATATTCTATCAGTATACAGCCGTTTCTGCTGTATAAAATAGAACGGAGATATTTAAATCGAACAATTTTTCGCAACGCCTGGAAATATATGGTAATCGACACACAAAAATTTCATGACCTCCCACTGTTTTCCAACCAAACGGGAAGTAGGGAGACAATGAAGTCTCCAGGATTCCATTTCCAAAACGGGAGGAGAAATTTCCATATCATATCAAAATCCAAAACCACTGCCTGGAATCCAAATAAAAGCTCTTATAAAATAAAAGAATTGAAAAAAAAAAATCAACCGGAAGTGCATCTTGAGTGAATACATTTGATAGAGATAGAGTCCCCTGAAAGAAAGTGGGGGAAAACAAGCCTATCCTGCTGACGTAATACCGCCCGGCCACGCCCCTAGTCATTTTGGCGCGTCATCTTCAGACCGCCTTCGGTCTTTGTTCCCTCTTGTTCGAATGATCTTTTCCTTCCCCTCTCTCTTGAAACGAGTGGAGTTGAGTTGTAGACTCTCTTTCCTTTTCTTTTTTTATACTCCGCATTTTCCCTTTTAGCAGACTTTCTTTCCTCCTTGTCTTGCAGAAGAATCTGCTACCATCTATTTTTCCATCCGCACTTAAGTTTAAGGGCGAGAGAACATAAGAATGGGTTGGAATTTGCGGACCTCCCGGAATTTATCAACTTCTTCATTGTAAGTAACTGAGATTAATTTCCGGCCGATTACAGTTAAGAAGAGATGGAGACATCAATAGAGCGATTTTGTGTTAAATAGATAGAAATGAAAAAACGATTGGTTTACTTTAAGTTTACTTCATAGAATTTAAAAAAAAAAAAAAAAACTAATAACACGAGACTATGTAATTATAATGTTTCTGGAGTGGTCTAGTTAAGGCTTGGAAAATTTTTGTTGTTGTTGACAATTTCAATAATAGAGTAATTTGAAGTTGAAACCTTTACAATTTTGTGGGGAATATTTTAAGATTAGCTTAGAAAATATTAGAGAGAATTTTTACGTATTATTCTTTAAGAGTATTTTTAATGCAGAAAAGTTAGATTATACCACCTAAGCGAAACAAAATGTGTCAATTTCCCACTTTAACTCTATAAATTTCCATTTCGGGTGAAGTGTCGAGTGATTGGTGAAAAAGTGAGAGTCAGTTTTGGGTCATCTATGACAAAATGTTTTAAAAAATATTTTTGATAACAATTTTCCTTAGAAATGAAATAAATTGGGACAGATTTAAATCTCAAAAAGAACAATTTTGTGATATTTTTTTAATTTCACCTCTTGTTCTGATTTTAGGACACTGAAAGTAAGTCAGCAGAAAAAGTATAAAATGTAATTAAAAATTAATTTAACAAAATATGTACTACTTTTTAAAAACTCTTTTTTTAAAAAAAAAATCTTTTCACATCATATCCAGAAATATTTGCAACCCTTATCTCATTCTATAATCAGTGCTCTAATACCAGTTGCATAAAATGGATTATATAGCTGTTTCATTCACATTAGGGATTCAGCTATTTGCAATCGACAATTGTTTCATCATTATATCTGTACTCTAATATTAGTTTCATAAAATTCTTTGAATTTCAAACTCATACAATTAAAGACTTAATCTATTTGCAACCGACATTTCTCCCATCCTTAAAACAGTGCTTCAGCACTCGTTTCAAAACGTTCTTTGGATTTCTAACTCATGCACATAAGAACTTCATCTATATGCACTCAGCATTTCTCCTATTCTTAAAACAGTCCTTCAGTACTGGTTTCAAAAAATTCTCTGGAATTATCCACATAAGACTTAATCCCTTTGCACTCAGCATTTCTCCCATCCTTAAAACACTGTTTCAATACTGGTTTTAAAACGTTCTTTGGATTTCTGACTCATGCTCATAAGAACTTAATCAACTGATACAAAATACCTAGGATACATTCTCGATCCCGAATTTACAAGTAACAAACATATTGATTATATTGTCTCGAAGGCTAGGAAGCGCCTAAATATTATTAAGTGTATCGCTGGTAGGGATTGGGGAGCAGATGCAACTACTCTTAGGACTTCCTACCAGGCTCTTGTTAGACCAATTCTTGAATATGGCTATCCTGTCTACTGCTGTGCTTCGCAATCTAACTTAAACAAATTGGAAAAGGTTCAACTGAGCGCCGCTCGCATCATCACTGGACTGAAACGTAGCTGCCCTTCAGAGATCGTTCTTTACGAAGCAGATCTGCAACCTCTAAATTTCAGAAGGTAAGCTAATTTAGTGAAATATTACAATAAACTTTCCAGTTTAGACCAAGGCAATTTAACTGCTATTTACCTAAATAATTGGACCTGCAATCAAAGGCTAAAGAAAAACAGTCCTTTTAGTCATGTTAAATCACAACTGTTAATCGCTGAAAATATTGAACCTCTTTATCTTCATAGCAATCTTAGTACTTGCTTGGATCTTTCCAATGTTAGTTTCCATGAAAGCCTCCCTACCATGCTTGACAAGAAAGACTGTGTGCCTGACTTCCTCAGACAATTGTCCCTGGAAATCATCAATAAAATCCCTCCAAACGACATCAAAATATTCTCTGATGGCAGTAAAATGGATAGACAGACTGGCAGTGGGGTATTTATTGAAACACCTCGAGAGAACTACACTCTTCATCAACGAAACCCCGATTTTTGCTCCGTCTTTCGAAGCGAACTAATTGCAATCGACAGGGGACTAGAGAAAATCTTGAGTGAAGGGCACCTTGGAAATACTTGGATACTATCTGACAGCCGTAGTTCAATTCAACACCTCAAAAATTGGGCCCTCATTGGAGATAAAACCAGTTTTTCGATCCTACAAAAAGTAAAGCTCATTTCCCAACAGCATGAGGTCCACTTTCAATGGATCCCGTCCCACGTCGATATCCACGGCAACGAGTTGGCTGACACTCTTGCAAAGAAGGGACTAGACCATCCAGTTCCCTCCACCTCAGAGCTTACATACCTTGAACTTTTTGCAAGGCAAAAGGCCCAGAACAAACAAAAGTGGCTGCTTCCACCTATTCACTACTGGTATAAAGCAGAAAGACCAGGACTCTCTCTATCTCTCCCTGGTGATAGGCAAACCAACACCTGCTTATCCCGACTGGCCAGTGGACACCTAAAAAGTCTCACATTTTCTGCAAATCAAAAAATCTTTCCTCTTTGCCCTAAATGCCAACAAAACCAGGCATCACCTGAGCACATCTTGAACTGTTTAGGGCTGGACTGGAATGACATTCATTCCTCTCCCATTCTGGTTTCGGATTTTCTGAATGTCAACGGATTCATTGATCTGGTCTGACCCCGTCAGACCAGATGGGAATTAGCAACAACAACAACAACAACAGAACTTAATCAATTTGCAGTCGGCATTTCTCCCATCCTTAAAACAGAGCTTCAGTACTGGTTTCAAAAAATTCTTTAGGTTCATCCACATAAAGACTTAATCTATTTGAAATTGGCATTTTATCCATCTTTGAAACAATGCTTTAGTATTAGTTTCTGAAAATTCTTTTGATTTCCAACTCAAACGCATAAAGACTATGCTCATATCGATTTGCCATTGGCATTTCTACTATCCTAATAACAGTGCTTCATTACAAGTTGTATTATAAAATTTTTAAGATTGCTGTTTCACCCACATTAGGATTTACTTTATTTGCAATAGACATTTGTTCTATTCTTATAAGAGTACTTCAAAACATGTTTCATACAACTCCTTGGATTTCTAACTAATTGATACAGGAACTTCTATTTTTATAGACAAGAGTTCCTTCCTTATAATTAGTATTTATACCAATTGCTTAGAATTCTTTGACTTTTTCCCATCCAGATTAGTGCTTGATGTATTTGCAATTGACTTTGCAACAATTTGCTCATTTATTTCATCAGTGCTGAAAAAGGTACATAAAATTCATAAAGGTTGATACCCCATCAGTATTAGAACTTCCTTTTTCAAACATCACCATTATCATTACTTTTAAAATGTATTTAGTGCACCTTAAAAAAGTGGTAATAGCTTGGTTGAAGGTGGGTCTAGACCTTACCATAAATTATCCATATCTATGGTGTAGATAGTTTTCAGTACAGAAGAATCAATTTCTTCATCCATTGCACTTTTGAGCCTGTCTTAGCTTGAACAGGACCAAAACATCAATATTTGTATCAATCTTTAGAATGCTATTGAATATATCTTAACACGTCTGTGCACTTTTCGCCTCAAACAACTTATTCCCTTTATTCTGGGGACGTTTCTTTACTAATATCTCACACTTATAGCTCAATTTTTCACACCCCCAGCTGGAGGGGATTTCAAAATCTCAAATAGGATCCCTTATTCTTAATTGAAAATTTAGATTCTCCAGGAAAAGAAACTTTAACTTCACCTACAGGTCTTTGGATTTAGTTTTATAGCTATGCTAACCATCAAGAGGTGCTTGATTCTCATGGATTCATGATGATCCGTGATTGTCTATGATAGTTCCAACTAAACATTTCCATGATAGTTTAATGGGAATTTTTGTTGGGTCTCAGGAATATACCATCAAAATAATTTGGTTTCTTTTATGTTTGCCCATCATAAATCAGTCAGAATTCCTATATTGGGATGATGGTTGTTCATGATCATTCCAATATTTGATTTCTAAAAAACTATGATGGAAATTTCTGATGGTTTAACATGAACAAACCATTAAAACATGTTGCTATTCTTATGTTGGACCATCATATATCAGTCCGAATTCCAACGTTGGGGTGATGGTTACTTATTCAGGTTACCATCAAAAATATAATGATTCAAGATGGAATTATTGATGGTTACCATCAATATTATGTTAGTCCATCAATGGAAAACCATCAAAATCTTTGACTTGGGTAATGAATGCATATCTACGATGTAATTAAGCAACAAGTTTATAAATCTTCACATCTTGAATCTTAAACTAATATTTTAACTATTATTTAAAGTACATCATTAATATATTAAGTTAATAAATACGAGATTAAATATGAATAATTTTAAATCAATGATCTCCAACTTAAAAAAATTCATTTACTTTATAAACTTAAGTGAGAGTCTTGAGTTTGCTAATATGCTTCACCTCTCTTCATATCACATAGTCATAACCTATAATTAACTCTAAAAAGCTTTCATTTGGACCCCGAAGCGATAGTTTCTTGAAATTTATGGCACAGCGAATCACTCATATACTTCTAAAAATTTGCCGTAATCGAGAGTAATTATAGACATACTTTAGGGTAGTAAATTGTAAATGCTCGAAAGGTGACAAATAAATCCTCAAATTATCTTTCTGCCGAATTGAAATCATGCATTTTATTTTTTATTAAAGGTAATTTATTACAAAGGAAATAAACTGGGGTATAACGCATGTAATAAATATTTATTAGTACAACTTTTTAATTCATAATACAAAGATTAGTTACAATATAATAGATAACACTAAGATATAAAGGTTTGAGAAAAATATTGAAATGAAAACTAATGAATTTAGGACCCAAAGCCAGACCCAAAAAGAGGTGATTAGATAATGCAATTAAAGATCTTATCCCAATAAAAATATCAAATTGAAAATCCAATTGATTTAACTTTTCTCAGTATCCCAAAGTCAACTGCTGGTTGTAGTTCCATTAAAATATATAAATAAAAAATAATATTTCACAATATATTGCTGTATTTTTCAAGTTCACAAATTTATATAATTTTTACTTCGATCAATATTTTTTATGTAATATTTCAATTTATATTTTAATTACAATATTTTATATTTAATATTTAAATTTAATATATTTATCAATGTGTATTTTTGAAAATGATCACTATATTATCTTATTTGATAAGTATTACTGCTGATAATGATATTGATATTCATCGTTATTGAAAATGAATACTGCTTATCATTGTCTATAATTATCATATATTCGATATTTATCGATGTGATAGTCATGACACATCGTGGGATTACTTTTTAAAGTATTGTCTTGATGGCTGAGAAATATCGATATTTCACTATATATCATCGAATTTTAACTATTTTATGTCATCTCCCAGCACTATTATATTACGCTATATTACGTGCCACCACCCGACGTAAACTGTTATGTGTCACTGCCCAGTTTTAACTATTATATACCATTGCCTGGCTCTAACTATATTATAGGCACTAATTAAATAGATTTTTCTTTTCTTTTGTCTTCCTCTATTTTATTTATTTATTTATGTATTTTTTGGTTTTAATGTTAATATCAATTTAAAGATATTTCCGTGATTTTATAACGTGAGTTTAATTTTTATGTGAAAAGTTTTCTTTATTTTTTTATCTTTATTTTTTCATCCAGCCTAGAATGTCACAAACATGCTCGATTGGGTTCATGTTCGGGGAACACGCTGGCCAATCCATTCGTATGATTCCTTTCTCCAAAAAGAAATCATTCACCCAGTTAGCACGATGTGGCTTGCAATTGTCGTTCATTAACATGAAGTCATCTCCATTTGCTGCAGCGTAAGGGACTACAATAGGTCTCAGGATCTCTTCCCTATATCGGCGACCAGTCAGATCTCCATTTCGAATGATGTGGAAATCGGTGCCCCCATTAATGGAAATGCCAGCATAGACCATCACTCCCCCACGGCCAAATCTTACACTTTTGTTCACGAACGCAGGATTGTTTCTAATGCCATGTTTCATAGAGGTGATATTAAGATGCCATGTTTCATAGAGGTGATATTAGATGCCATGTTCCTATGTCACGTTCCCGCCTGATGAAAATACGCATATTATCAGGATGAACAGAAAAGCGGGACTTGTCAGAGAAAAGAATATTGCGCCATCCATTTCTCCTCCAGTTCACATGCTCTATAGCCCACTCCCAGCTTGCGCGACGGTGCCTTGCTGTTAACGTGGCACAGATCATTGGTCGGCGGGTATACAGACCTATAGCATAAAAGCGGTTTCGGACAGTTTGTGTCGAAACTGTGGTGCCAGTGGCCTAGCGAAAGTGTTGTTGAAGAAGAGTGGTATTCATATTTCGGTTGCTCCAAGCCATTAGCGTTAAATAACGGTCTTCATTGGGTGTTGTTGCGCGTCTACGCCCTTGTCCTGATCTTCGGCCTGCGTTTCCAGTCTCCAAAAAAACGGTTCCAGATCCTGGAAATCACTCTTCGTGAAACTCCTATGGCTTCTGTTACTTCGGCTTGTGTTTGGTCCCCCTTTAACGGGCCAACAACTCTCCAAGCTTCTGATTCGGGTAAATGACTTCGTTGAGACATCACACTAATCGAAACAACGCGTTTACTGAATGTCGACCATTCTTTTCTGCTTTGTCTCACATTAAATTGAAAGCCAAATCAAATTCGTTGACATTATAGCGTCGTCTTCGAACTCAAAATTTGCATACTGCTAAGTTTGAAAACGAGAAAAATTAGCATTTGTGACTCTAGTCTTCAGTTTTATGCAAAGGAGAAAAAAAATTGCTTATACCGTTATATTATACAAGACTTACAATATGCTTTAATTGTTTTGAGCACTGTTTTATGAATTTCAAGACTATAATTGTAATTGTATGCATCCCCCTCAGAGAAAAAGGTACATTAATTTTTTGTCCGTCAATGGAAGGATGGATTCAGATAGAAGATCAAAATGAAAAAGAAAAAGATATATTGACTAGAAAGTTTTGCTTTAAGTGGAAGGCACTTAACATGATGTTTTTTTATTTCCCTTGGAGAACGAACTTTGAAAACCCATGCTAAAAGTTTTTTAAAAATCACCAATTTGGCGATATTTTTCAGCTGCCTGTCTGCTGTGAGTTCGCAACAGTTACTCATGACTGTTAGGTCAAGTCTAATCTATCTTTAGCCAGTATCTTCTATGTTTATTCCAAGTCAAGTCTGATCTATCTTTAGCCAGTATCTTCTATGTTTATTCCAAGTCAAGTCCTATCTTTAGCCAGTATCTCCTATGTTTATTCCAAGTCAAGTCTAATCTATCTTTAGCCAGTATCTTCTATGTTTATTCCAAGTCAAGTCCTATCTTTAGCCAGTATCTTCTATGTTTATTCCAAGTCAAGTCTAATCTATATTTCGCCAGTATCTTCTATGTTTATTCCAAGTCAAGTCTAATCTATCTTTCGCTAGTATCTTCTATGTTTATTCCAAGTGAAGTCTAATCTATCTTTAGCCAGTATCTTCTATGTTTATTCCAAGTCAAGTCTTATCTATCTTTAGCCAGCATCTTCTATTTTTATTCCGAACTTTAAAATGGAAATAAACCACAGTTTTGAGAATATAAAAAGTGTTTGGTGTCTAATTTTTTAATATTTAGGAACTTACTCCATTGCTGCATTAACTAAGATAAAAAAAATAATAATATTTAAAAATAAAGAAGCATCGTGATCGTTTTATTACGATCACTGGTTATTCGTCAAATGATTTTTTATTTCCGGATTGACTCCGATAAACGCCACAACATTTCAAATCTTGGGTTGCAAAAACTGACTCAATTGATGTTTGTAGTCGGATTGGTTTTCAAATCCTTCCCATATACGTGTTTCAACACGTCACCTTCCATTTTCATTATTCATATTTATATTAAAATCACCGTCACTACAGTATTTATAAGCCAATAATAAGAATAATATAAAATTAGTTTAAATTATTATTATGTAAATACATTAAAAATGCATGCTGGTGGAAATAAAATTAAAAAAAAACTCTAACCCTTGAGACCGTGTCAATCTGTTTGGGACCCTCTTATTTTGTGATATTCACCTGAATTAGTACTGAAAACGATCCAGTTTGAACTGTAGGTTATAATTTGTAATTCTTAATTAAAACAAATCGTTTAAATGATGAAATTCTCGTTTATTCACAACTTAAGAAGTATTTATGGGATCTGTCTGGTCCCATATCTCAAAAATAAACTCACTAACTCAATGCATAACAAAATTAAAAGTGAAAAAAAGAATTCTAAAAAAAATATCAAACAGCAGCTGTCACCATAGCAACGCATGCAATGACGACGCATGCGCACTGTTTACTATTACTCTTGAGCACAGTTGAAAAGTGTGATGACGTCCAAATAAACGAAAACGATCCTCAAAACGCAATCAAAACCAAAACAACATCCATTTTGCCAATGGGTAAAATATTTAAGGAAAAAAAAAAAAGAGAATAAAGCATTAACTTTGATAATTTTAATCTAAGTGGAAAAATGTCATCGAATTGATGATTTTTAAAACTGTTTCATAGCTTTTAAATTAATTAAGTTAATTGTCTGTTTTAAAACCCAGATAATTTTTCATTGCAAGATGGAATATATAGTTTAAAAATATAGCCTTGCTTGAAGCAAAAGGCACTTAAACTATGGCTTTTTTTTATTTTTCTTGGCGCGA